ACATCTCCAAGCAAACATTCTCGTCTCCCTCCCCGCCTGGTTCAGTCCTTGATTTGTTGATTCAGTCCTTGATTTTTTGGTTCAGTCCTTGATGTGTTGGTTCAGTCCTTGATTTTTTGGTTCGGTAAGTCGTAGTGGCTTCTTTGGGGATCGTCGTGCGGACTACAGACGTGACGTGAGTGGGACACACCCTAGGCCAGCGAAACAAACAAAAATTACAGAAGGGCCTCTCCCATTCACTGAATGACTGATTTTATATCTATACTCCCCCCTAGCTGCTGGGTTGAACCTAACTTCGAGAACACAGCAAGGGAAAGACATCAATAAAACTGGCTTCAAAGGGAGTTCGTGATAAGGACTAGTAATCGAAGTGAAGAGTGAATAAAATTGAAACTGAAATGAAAAAGCAAAGGTTGCGTGCAAACTGCGAAAGATTCTTGTCCGTGTGTCTGAATAGCGTGCCTCATGTTATTTATGGGCAAAATTTTGGTTATCGAAACAGTTTTCCATCCTTTTAGGTTTTGACTTGGATGCCCATCTTGGCTTCCTTTGAATCAGTGATGTCTTGGGACTCTTCCAGCAATGCTGGCAGGCTGATTCGCTTGACATGTGGCTGGCGTCTTTTCCAGTTCCACGGTCAGTGACATGCGGCTGTAACCACATTGAAGTTATTCTTTCAAAGTAATTTTGTAATTTTTCCAAAATAACTTTTTAACAATGCAGCGTTATTTTTCAGCTGTCGTCCTTTTTGTCAGTATTTTTATTTCCTCCACTTTTGCAAAGCCTCACGTAGAAGTAACAATCGAAAACTGGGGAATGATTGAAACATCGGCTGAGTTTGAATACAAGGTTCGATTGTTCTGGTAATTAAATTGTCATTCTGTTCTGTACAGTATTGGGAGGATTGGGAAAATCACTACGGCTGGAACGCTGCTCCGAGCTTTGTTGATTGGAGGGCTAGTGCCTATTACGATATCACTTCGTCCGGCTACAGCGTCCGACGCTTTGATGACTATGGAGGGGCTGCAAACATGGTAAGCAGTCGAGCCTTGTTGATCTTCTTTTAGACCTTTTTTGTGATCCTTAGGGGAACTACCAGGGCGTGTAAGTGACGAGTACGGGATCTGACAAAACGATTTGCTTCGACAGAAAGACAGCGGATACAGCTGTTAAGCTCAAGCTCGGCGCTAGAACGGAAATCGATCGCTTTCACTATTTTGGTATTACAATGCACGGCGCTGAGATGCTCACATTTTTGTTCTAGGCTACTGGCTCAGCTCTATGGATGCGGGGAATGTGGTTGAGATTTGGGACAAAGATCGTTGTCTTTATAAATTTGTTGCGAAAGATCTTCTTAAAAAGATGCGAGGAGATGAACGATACAAACCATAATCACAGTCTCAATTTAAGGACCTTGTTTCATTTCCCAACAGGAAACCCAGATAGATGCGGCGCCCTCCCCGAGAAGCCTTTCGTTTTCGTACGTTTTTTGCTGTTGTGACGCATTTCTGATGCATTCATTTCAGGTAAATATTTTTTGCCACGGTTGCACGAAGGAAAACCCAATAAGGGTAAGTGAAGTCCAAGGAGTGTCAATTGCTAAAACCTTCTTTCCAGATGGTCAAAATTTCTCAAGCTGAGTGGTCGGAAGAAGTTCACGAAGGAGACAACTATACGGTAAGTTTTGCGGTCGTGGCTTTTACAGCGGTTTCCGTTCTGTAGGTCGGATGGTTCACCAAGACGGCAGGAGAAACTGTAGACATCAACGATCGAGATTTCTGTAGGGGAAACCCTTCTCCAGAAATTGACCCAGCTACTACAACAACAACAACAACCGCCACCACCACAACTACCACCACCACAACTACCACCACAACTACCACCACAACTACCACACCACAACTACCACCACCACAACTACCACCACCACAACTATAGCAGCCACCACAACAACCACCACAGCAGCCACCACAACAACCACGACCACACCTACAACCGCTGCCTCACCGACAACCGCCACACCTACAACCGCCACACCCACCACAACCACCACCAAAACCATCGCCGCAACCAGCACCACCTCAAAGTCAACTACAACGTCAACAACAACTCTCCCCCAAGGTGATTCCTCGCATGTAAAAGATATTGTCGTGGGAGCTGCCGTGCGTTTCTCATAGCAGCGGGAGGAGCGGGACTTGCTGCTCATCTGTTACTTCAGTAGACGGCTTTGCCGATTCGAAGTGGGAGATGGAAGATTGTGAAGCGCTTGGGCCAACTAATGTCGCCCTTGGTGCGTAAGTGTATTATATGGCACACACGATACACCTGGGGTGCTAGTTTCGGACTTAAAGTCATGAGTTCTTTTTTCTGTCCAAGTTTGAACCTTGGAAGATGTTTGTCCTGTAGAGTTGTATAGTAGTTAGATGACGTGATCGTCAGCCTGCGTGTTGTCTAGTCACTTCAGCCGTGGGACCAAACGGGGGTTCAAATTTGGTACCTGCTAAAAAGTCGGCCCTCAGCTTCCCCATCCACCGGCTCGGTGACCAATCACGAAGTTGATTTATTTGGTTCTTTTTGATTTAAATCTAACTGATAACCCAATCTTATTCAACCTTCGCTCACGGCACAAGATCCTCGCAATCGCTGGCCTCGTCTCACGTGGTGAGTACCCCCAAGTTCTCAGCAAAGTATTGCGAGCGATGTCTTCCTCAGGAGTGATTGAGCAGGGGAGACAGTTGTCGCTCCTTGATAGATCTAAGGTGCCAGCATGGTGGCGCTGCTCTGACGTCCAGGGTCGAAGGAATTGTCGCTCCTTGATAGATCTAAGGTGCCAGCATGGTGGCGCTGCTCTGACGTCCAGGGTCGAAGGAATTTTCCCAATGCGTGTTCTCTGCAAGTTTCTTATCGGATAGTTCGCTAGACTGTTCTTTTTCCTCTCAACGATGCGGGACAGATCTAGGAAGGCAGGATGGTCCGCGTTCACTCCAAGTCCAGGGCAGTGAACGCAGATTGGGGAACATATCCCAAGTTTCGATAATGCGGGACGGCAGCATCAGAGCATCAATATCTCATCCATTCAACCAATTTGTCGTTTTATTTGTTAATCTCTTAGCGGTTCGTACAGAAGTCTGATTGGCGGGATATGTGGCGGAGTAATCAGTTGAACCTTGCATCGTGGGTGGCTGCCGAGTATCTCAGTGAGGTGATAGAAATTCGTTGTCATGGTGAATCCAACGACAGACGACGAACAAAATCTGCTTCTACAGTGACATCTCACTGCAGGACCTCATCAAGGTATGAATTATGCATAGCTCCCCTGATCATGTTTGCACAACACGTTCGTGGACATCTCCAACCAAACATTCTTTTGTCTTCTCCCTCCTGGTAAGTCGTAGTGACTTCTTTGGGGATCGGGGGACTGTGCGTGGGACAGACCCCATGCCAGCAGAACAAAACAAAAATCACAGAAGGGACGGACATTCTCGATGAACCACACCAAGTTCCAGCATCCTCTTCATCCCTTTCTCCAAATATTGACGAAAGATGAAGACGACAGAATTTCCGAATCGAGTTGTAATTAAATAAATGACATTCGAAACGTTTACTTCCTGGACACTTTCGATTTTCACCAACGAGTGATGCGTACCAGTAGTCGCCTGATTTTGCGTTTCTCTCAATAGGATGGCGGTGGAACTTCGTCCCTGCGACGTTCGATTCGCGATTCAATCCATCGTTATTTGACATTCATTCCGCTTGCCTTGAGGTTTCTAGCTTCGCGGCATCGTAACAGGTATACGGCTCCACCTGATGGGATGAGATGTTTGATGTCTTGAATGTTCAAAACAATAAAAATCTTTCTGAGCCTCTTGGAGTCATCGTCAAAATTAGGATTGGCAATCTCTCATACCCATCTTTGCTTCCATTGATTGAGCGTCACTCTTCCGGCAATGCAGGCTGATTCGCTCGACATGTGGCTGCGCCTTTCCAGTTCCACGGTCAGTTACATGCGGTTGCAGCGAATTGTACTCTTTTCACAATAATTTTTTGACAATAATTTTTTAATAATGCTGCGTTGTTTTTCGGCTGTCGGCCTTTTTTTCAGTATTTTTGTTTCCTTCACTTTTGCAAAGAATCACGTAGAAGTAACAATCGAAAAATGGGGAATGATTGAAACATCGGCTGAGTTTGAATACAAGGTTCGATTATTCTAGTGATTCAATTGTCATTCTGTTCTCTGCAGTATTGGGATGAGTGGGAAAATCACCCCGGCGGGCACAGTATGCCCCCATTTGATGACCGGAGGGCTAATGCCTATTTCGATATCTTTTTGTCCGGCTACAAAGTCCGACGCTTCGATGACTACGGAGGGGCTGGAAATATGGTAGGCAGCCTGGAACCGAAGCTGTTAGCCCAGAGCTTTGTAGATCTTCTTTTAGACCTTTTGTGATCCTTAGGGGAACTACCAGGGCGTGTAAGTGACGAGTATGGGATCTGACAATGCGATTTGCTTCGACAGAAGGACAGCGGATACAGCTGTTAAGCTCATGTTCGGCGCCGGAACGGAAATCGATCGCTTTAACTATTTTGGTATTACAATGCACGGCGCTAAGATGCTCACATTTTGTTCTGTAGGCTACTGGCTCAGCGCTATGGATGCGGGGAATGTGGTTGAGATTTGGGACAAAGATCGTTGTCTTTATAAATTTGTTGCCAAAGACCTTCTTGAGAAGATGCGAGGAGATGAACGATACAGACCATACTTTGGTATGCGGCATCACAGTCTCAATTTAAGGACCTTGTTTCATTTCCCAACAGGAAACCCAGATAGATGCGGCGCCCTCCCCGAGAAGCCTTTCGTTTTCGTACGTTTTTTGCTGTTGTGACGCATTTCTGATGCATTCATTTCAGGTAAATATCTTTTGCCACTCTTGCACGAAGGAAAACCCAATAAAGGTAAGTGAGGCCCAAGCAGGGGCAATGGCTAACACTTCTTTCACTAGATGGTCAAAATTTTTCAAGCGGAGTGGTCGAAAGAAGTTCACGAAGGAGATAACTATACGGTAAGTTTTTCTGTCGTCGCTGTTATATAGCGGTTTTCGTTCTGTAGGTCGGATGGTTCACCAAGACGGCAGGAGAAACTGTAGACATCAGCGATCGTGATTTCTGTAGGGGAAACCCTTCTCCAGAAATTGATCCAACTACTACAACAACAACAACCGCCACATCAACAACCGCCACATCAACAACCGCCACATCAACAACCGCCACACCGACAACAGCTACACCGACAACAGCTACACCGACAACCACCACACCCACAACCACCACACCAACAACCACCACATCAACAACCACCACATCAACAACCGCCACACCGACAACCGCTACACCGACAACCACCACACCGACAACCACCACACCGACAACCACCACACCGACAACCACCACACCGACAACCACCACACCGACAACCACCACACCGACAACCACCACACCGACAACAACCACCACACCAACAACCGCCACACCTACAACCGCCACACCTACAACCACTACACCTACAACCGCTACACCTACAACCGCCACACCTACAACCACCACCACAACAACCACCACCACAACAACAACCACCACCGCAACAACCACCACCACCACACCAACAACTGCCACACCAACAACCGCCACACCAACAACCGCCACACCAACAACCGCCACACCAACAACCGCCACACCAACAACCGCCACACCAACAACCGCCACACCAACAACCGCCACACCAACAACCGCCACACCAACAACCGCCACACCAACAACCGCCACACCAACAACTGCCACACCAACAACTGCCACACCAACAACCGCCACACCAACAACCGCCACACCGACAACCGCCACACCAACAACCGCCACACCAACAACCGCCACACCAACAACCGCCACACCAACAACCACCACACCAACAACCGCCACACCAACAACCGCCACACCAACAACCGCCACACCGACAACCGCCACACCGACAACCACCACACCAACACCTACAACCGCTACACCCTACAACCGCTACACCTACAACCACTACACCTACAACCGCTACACGTACAACCACCACACCGACAACCGCCACACCGACAACCACCACACCAACAACCACCACACCTACAACCACTACACCTACAACCGCCACACCTACAACCGCCCACACCTACAACCGCCACACCTACAACCGCCACACCTACAACCGCCACACCCCACCATATTACCCACCACCACACCCACAGCGACATCAAAGCCAACTACAACGTCAACAACAACATCCCCCCAAGATGATTCCTCGCATGTGAAAGATATTGTCTTGGGAGCTGCCGTGGTTGCGTTTCTCCTAGCAGCGGGAGGAGTGGGACTTGCTGCTTATCTGTCACCAAAACAATCTTCTCCAGAGAACAGCTTTGCTGGTTCGAAGTGGGAGATGGAGGAGAGTGACCTTGGGCCAACTAATGTCGCCCTGGGCGTGTAAGTGTGTTATACACTTGGGGTGCTAGTTTCCGTCTTAAGAAAAAGTTGAGTTCTTTTTTCTATCCAAGTTTGAATCTTGGAAGATTATTTTTTAGCTGTAGAGTTCTATAGAAGCTAGATGGCGTGATCGTCAGCCTGCGTGTTGTCCAGTTACTTCCCACGTTTGGGAACTTTCTTTTTTGTTCGTCGTGTACAAATTTGGTGCCTGCTAAAAAGTCGGCCCTCATCTTCATGTCGCCAATCACATTTTTTAATTTTAATTGGAAGTTGATTTATTTGGTCCTTTCTTGTAACCCAATCTCATTCAACCAATCGCTCGACATTGGTCCTGTATCTCACGTGATGACTACCCTTAAGTTCTCACCAAAGCTCGAAGGAATTCGCCCAATGCGCGTTCTGTGCAAGTTTCTTATAATTTAGTAGGTGCGATGTGTCCTTGTGCTTCGGAAATGTGTTCAGCCGATTCCCAGTACTCAAGAGTCTTATTCTTTGCTATTGGTTCGGCTGATTCTCTTCTCTAGCTCCAAACATAGGGGAACCTCTAGAACACCAGCCTTCAGTAGATTACTAATAGGTCTTAAGCGAATGACGCAAGGATGGCTTCCGAGTTGGTCATATCGAAATTGAACGTCATCCCTCTCTCATCTGTTGGTTGTGCACTTCATCGACTATGGAACTTCGTCACCTTTTGCTATGAAACAAAGCATAACAGGTACGACTCGTTCCACCTGATCCGCATCGATGAGATGTTTGATGTCTTATTCATCTGGAAGATCCACTTGAAGAAGTTTTGTTTCCTCAAGTCTGGAGCTTCGCTGATTTCAGCAACTATGGCGTTTGAACAAAATTCGATTCCAAAAGGCTCGACTGGTTTTTTATTCGAGCCGAAGATTGAAAGACTGTTGAATGGAATTGGAAAACTTCCAACTTTGGATCAATCGTCTGGAGTTTTGGATTTGAATGAAATCGAAAATTGGTATTCGGGAATTCAGAGAAGTTCGTTAATGGGTTTTTGGCGGATAGATATGCAGAACAAAATGAGCGGCAAATGTATCCTACAGCTCGGTGGCAGAAAGTAACGCACCAGAAGTAGAGAGAGCGAACGCATAGAAGAGAGCGAGAAGAAGGGTGAATGGAGCGAGAACCGAATTGCGAGTATCTAGAGCAACAAGAACCAAGGATAAATCATTTACTGGTTTAATAGGATGATGAATGGGTAGTGGAAGTCTTAGAAGGTAAAAATTCAACTTAATTTTCAAGCGCGTATGAAACCGTAAGACCACGAAGCCAAAACAGGGGCCTACTGGGAACTCAGTAGAGGACAATTTGAGAACAGATGTCAAAAAGAAATGGGCGCAAAACTGCCCATGAAGATGCTGTGCGAAACGCACGCCCAAATGAATCGCGCTTCTTATTAACTGAAATCTTAAGAAATAACTCTGAGAGTGGACGCGCGCAGATAGGACCAGTAAAGGAGAGTTCATGTCTGATTGGACTGAATTTCGGCACAAGCTCTTTTGAGTGTCTTTTTTTGTTCGGGTTTCCTAGTTGCGGAATATTACAACATATTCTCTTCAAGAAATGAAGAGAATATTCGGTACCAAGCGCAAATCAAAAAACGCCAACGTTGACTTGGCACAGTCGTCCATCGAACTCGATGACAACGGCACTCCATTAACTGCTCAAGAAGAAGATAAATCGTTCAACGCCTCATTGACAGCTCAAGAAGGGGATACCACCTTCAACACCACTGAGGAAGTACCCGCGAACGCTGATGTCAACCTGAACACAGCAAGGGAAGTGCCTTCAGAGGCTTCCCGCTTCCAGGAAACCCCCTCAACATCAATAAAACTGGCTTCGAAGGGGTTTCGTGATAAGGACTTCAAAATTCAACAGAGTGACTCAGCTGGAACCGAACATAGTTTATCAAACCAACCACAAGTAATCGAAGTAAAGAGTAACAATGATAAAATTGAAACTGAATTAAAAAATCAAGAACCCTTGAGTCAGCAGAAAGCTGCTGAACATGGAAGTGAACAACGCGATCAAACCCAAGAGGCAGAACAGAGCACTCAGAATGCGCGTTTGAAGGAGGAGGGCTCAGAGACAAAGATCGTCGTTACAACAACTCAGACTGCATCTAAGATTGACACCCCTAGTGAAGATGAAAAAGATGATGTCATGTCGCTTAGTGGGCTAAGCGCAACGACTGGAGTGACGAATGACGGAGAAAAAGCGAAAAAAAAGGGGAGATTAGGAGGATTGAGAAAAGCTCTTAAGTCTGCTGCAAAAAAAGCAACTGGAGTTAAATCGGAAAAAGAGGAAGTTGATGAACAAAAACAGAAAGTTTCGTGGTCTGGATTGAGTGAAGTCGAGCTGCTGAAGCGGGAATTAGAAATGTAAAGAGTTTATAATTAATATTGATAGTGGCCGTTTTTCATAGTGCACTTGTTGGCATTCATCTGGTGCACTTATTATAAGGTACCAAATCAGTTGTATGGTTGTTGTGTATTTTGCTCTATCGTTAGGGTTGAAGAAGAGAATAAGCGTTTACGTTCAGCAAAGGCGGAGTTAAGCGGACATATCGATGCAAAAAATGCGACTATTCGAATTCTAGAACTCTCTCTAAGCGAAGTAAGATTCTCTGGTTTGAAAAATAGCCCCCGTTTCTGTTTGATTCAGGGAGAAGATTCAACGGTCAATTCAACATTGAATAGTTTGAGATCAGAAGTGTCGCAACTTCAGACGAAATTGAATGAAGCACAAGCGAGGAATGAAACGTGGCAAATGGAAAAGGTAAATCCATAACCCTCAGAGCTCATTCGCAGTTTCCTGTTCGGATGACTAAATCATTTCTGGCCTCGAGAATAACAAAATGGAGCGGAAAAAAACTTCTCCCTCCTTCTTTTTCAGATTTCTTTGCAGGAAAAGCTCGATCGAGTGGAAGAAGAGAAGTCTGATCTGAATGTAAGTCACAAGTAGAATGTTTAGCCGAATGCATAGAAGGTGGTTCACTGATTTGACGTGTTAGGAAAAGCTTGAGATCTCTGTTGAGGAGGCAGAAGCGACATATTCCTCTCTTGCGGAGTTGCAAGTACAGAATAAGAAAATGGAGGATGAAGTAGGACTTGATTGACGCGTTTTTTGTTCTATTTCCTCAACTCGACAGGTAGCATCACTTCTAGAAAGACTCGAATCTGAAGAGCGAGAAAAGAAAGTTCATGTGAGAGATCGAAATAGTGGAGAAGCCTGAAACGTCAATCGTTCATCTTCTCAAAAATGCTTCGTGTCGATGAGCTGTGCTTCTTCCACAATCAAATTTCAAGGTTGAAATCTAGTGTTTTGTTGTTTGTTTAGAAAGAGGAGAATATTCGTCTACTTGAAGTTGTTCGATTTAAAAATGAACAGTTGGAATCAGAACGAGAAAACTCTTCGATGAAGGATGTAGGAACACGTTACCTCTGTTTATTCCTCTCCCTAGAACATCCTGGCTTTCTCAATCTCCAACTGCTTTCACTCGTCAGGACACTTCCACAAAGATGACGCAAGAGCTTGAAGAGCTTCGATCACGCTACACTGAGTTATTGACAGAATCCTCAGATCTTCGAGGCCAACTGAGGCAACTTCAAGCCGTCCGAGATGACGACAATTCAAAACGACAGGATCTAATGAAGCTCCATTCATTGGCGAGCGAACGGCTTGAGGCGCAACTGAAAGAAAGGCAAGACATATCGGCACGAATTAGCGGGGAACTGCAGAAAGAAAAAGGGCAAGTGACTCAATTGCAGCGGACTGCTAGTGAACTTCAGATGGATCGGGAAGAAATCGTAGCGCAATTGAAGTCGGCTCATAGCCGCATCGCGCAGTACGAAAGCCGGATAACTGCCATGGCGGGTGCCAAAGAAATGGCGGAAGAGGAAAATGAGGCATTGCTGCAGAGACGACGTGTTTTAGAGAGTGAATTTGAAGCAGCAGCAGAACGTTCGATGCAACTTGAGATTGCTGTGAAGAACTTGGAGATCGAGAAGGACCAGCTGTTGGTGAAGATTAAGGAAACAGAGAAGAAAATGGATTGTCTGACAGAAGTGAACACGGAGCTTACCGCAGAGAAAGAGCAACTATTGCTTGACTTAAAGCAAACCACAGAAAGTTTGGAGGAACTTAATGCTGCGAAGAAGAAGGTCGAGATTGAGAAAGATCAGCTCTCGCAAAAGGTCAAAGAGGAAAAGCTAGAGGCTGTTACAAAAGCAAATGCAGAATATGAAACAGAAAAGCAGGAGCTGACTCTTCAACTGGAAGCAGCTACAGAAAGTTTGGAAGAACTTAATGCTGCGAAGAAGAAGGTCGAGATTGAGAAAGATCAGCTCTTGCAAAAGGTCAAAGAGGCAGAGGAAAAGCTAGACGTTGCTACGAAAGCGAATGCCGAATATGAAACAGAAAAGCAGCAGCTGACTCTTCAACTGGAAGCAGCTACAGAAAGTTTGGAAGAACTTAATGCTGCGAAGAAGAAGGTCGAGATTGAGAAAGATCAGCTCTTGCAAATGGTCAAAGAGACAGAGGAAAAGCTAGACGCCGCTACGAAAGCAAATGCAGAATATGAAACAAGAAAGCAGGAGCTGACTCTTCAACTGGAAGCAGCTACAGAATGCTTGGAAGAACTTGATGCTGCGAAGAAGAAGGTCGAGATTGAGAAAGATCAGCTCTTGCAAAAGGTCAAAGAGGCAGAGGAAAAGCTAGACGTTGCTACGAAAGCGAATGCCGAATATGAAACAGAAAAGCAGCAGCTGACTCTTCAACTGGAAGCAGCTACAGAATGTTTGGAAGAACTTGATGCTGTGAAGAAGAAGGTCGAGATTGAGAAAGAGCAGTTGTTAGAAACAACGAGAAAATCGAATCAAGAGGCCGCCTTGTACTCAGCAGAGGCAGACGAGAGAGTCATGGCTTCAACAAACGCAAATACGGACCTCTTGAAAGAGAAGGAGCAGCTGCTGGTACGATTGAACGCAGCTACAGAAAGTTTGAAAGAACTTAATGCTGCGAAGAAGAAGGTCGAGATTGAGAAAGATCAGCTCTTGCAAAAGGTCAAAGAGACAGAGGAAAAGCTAGACGCTGCTACGAAAGCAAATGCAGAATATGAAACAGAAAAGCAGGAGCTGACTCTTCAACTGGAAGCAGCTACAGAATGTTTGGAAGAACTTGATGCTGCGAAGAAGAAGGTCGAGATTGAGAAAGATCAGCTCTTGCAAAAGGTCAAAGAGACAGAGGAACAGCTAGACGCTGTTACGAAAGCAAATGCAGAATATGAAACAGAAAAGCAGCAGCTGACTCTTCAACTGGAAGCAGCTACAGAATGTTTGGAAGAACTTGATGCTGCGAGGAAGAAGGTCGAGATTGAGAAAGAGCAGTTGTTAGAAACAGCGAGAAAATCGAATCAAGAAGCGGTCTTGTTTTCAGTCAAGACAGACGAGAGGGAGTTGGCTTTAGCACAAACGAATACGAAGCTTACAGAAGAGAATGAGCAGCTGCTATTACGATTGAACGCAGCTACACAAGGTTTGGAAGAGCTCCTCGAGGCAAAGAAGAAGACGGAGACAGCGAGCGGAGAGTTGATGGAGAGGGTCGTAGAGGCAGAGAAAAGGATAGAGAGTCTGACAAAATCGCGTGCTACGCTGTTGACGGAGAAGGACCAGTTAGTGTCCGATATGAAGGAAGCTATCGAGTGCTTCGAAGAGGTTGAGGCTGCAAGAAGAACCGTGGAAATTGAGAAAGATCAGCTCTTGCAGAAAGTCAAAGAGACAGAGGAACAGCTAGACGCTGTTACGAAAGCAAATGCAGAATATGAAACAGAAAAGCAACAGCTGACTCTTCAACTGGAAGCAGCTACAGAATGTTTGGAAGAACTTGATGCTGCGAAGAAGAAGGTCGAGATTGAGAAAGATCAGCTCTTACAAAAGGTCAAAGAGACAGAGGAAAAGCTAGACGCTGCTACGAAAGCAAATGCAGAATATGAAACAGAAAAGCAGGAGCTGACTCTTCAACTGGAAGCAGTTACAGAATGTTTGGAAGAACTTGATGCTGCGAAGAAGAAGGTCGAGATTGAGAAAGATCAGCTCTTGCAAAAGGTCAAAGAGGCAGAGGAAAAGCTAGACGTTGCTACGCAAGCGAATGGCGAATATGAAACAGAAAAGCAGCAGCTGACTCTTCAACTGGAAGCAGCTACAGAATGTTTGGAAGAACTTGCGAAGAGGAAGGTCGAGATTGAGAAAGAGCAGTTGTTAGAAGCAGCGAGAAAATCGAATCAAGAGGCCGCCTTGTACTCAGCAGAGGCAGACGAGAGAGTCATGGCTTCAACAAACGCAAATACGGACCTCTTGAAAGAGAAGGAGCAGCTGCTGGTACGATTGAACGCAGCTACAGAAAGTTTGGAGGAACTTAATGCTGCGAAGAAGAAGGTCGAGATTGAGAAAGATCAGCTCTTGCAAAAGGTCAAAGAGACAGAGGAAAAGCTAGACGCTGTTACGAAAGCAAATGCAGAATATGAAACAGAAAAGCAGGAGCTGACTCTTCAACTGGAAGCAGCTACAGAAAGTTTGGAGGAACTTAATGCTGCGAAGAAGAAGGTCGAGATTGAGAAAGATCAGCTCTTGCAAAAGGTCAAAGAGACAGAGGAAAAGCTAGACGCTGTTACGAAAGCAAATGCAGAATATGAAACAGAAAAGCAGGAGCTGACTCTTCAACTGGAAGCAGCTACAGAATGTTTGGAAGAACTTGATGCTGCGAAGAAGAAGGTCGAGATTGAGAAAGATCAGCTCTTGCAAAAGGTCAAAGAGACAGAGGAAAAGCTAGACGCTGTTACGAAAGCAAATGCAGAATATGAAACAGAAAAGCAGGAGCTGACTCTTCAACTGGAAGCAGCTACAGAATGTTTGGAAGAACTTGATGCTGCGAAGAAGAAGGTCGAGATTGAGAAAGATCAGCTCTTGCAAAAGGTCAAAGAGACAGAGGAACAGCTAGACGCTGTTACGAAAGCAAATGCAAAATATGAAACAGAAAAGCAGCAGCTGACTCTTCAACTGGAAGCAGCTACACAAGGTTTGGAAGAGCTCATCGAGGCAAAGAAGAAGACGGAGACAGCGAGCGGAGAGTTGATGGAGAGGGTCGTAGAGGCAGAGAAAAGGATAGAGAGTCTGACAAAATCGCGTGCTACGCTGTTGACGGAGAAGGATCAGTTAGTGTCCGATATGAAGGAAGCTATCGAGTGCTTCGAAGAGGTTGAGGCTGCAAGAAGAACCGTGGAAATTGAGAAAGATCAGCTCTTGCAGAAAGTCAAAGAGACAGAGGAACAGCTAGACGCTGTTACGAAAGCAAATGCAGAATATGAAACAGAAAAGCAACAGCTGACTCTTCAACTGGAAGCAGCTACAGAATGTTTGGAAGAACTTGATGCTACGAAGAAAAAGGTCGAGATTGAGAAAGAGCAGTTGATGGAGGGACTTAAAGAGACAGATGTTCGGGTGGCGAGTCTGACGTCAGGGAGTGACAAGCTTGCGGAAGAGAGAAAAGAATTGCTCTCACATATCAAAACGACAGAAGAACTGATTGAAAAACAGAAGAAGGAGGTGGAAGCTACTCGAATGGAAATGGAAACACGGACAGGCGAACTGCAACGACTCTTGGAAGAAAAAGAGCGGGAATGCCTTGAAGAACGAGAGCGATTTGAAAGAATTCAGTTGGAGCTCATCGAGGCTGGAAAGATGCAGGAGACAACTTCAAATGAAGTACTTCAAGTGAGTGGATTCTCGTGAGTGAATGAGAGCCATTTCGCTCTCAAATCTAAGATGAGGACAACTCTTCAATGGCCGTGTCGTTGAAAGATGTCTGAATTCGTGCTTAGGAACTGTTTCTATCTGTTTTCTGTTTCAGCACTTTCTATTTTTTTGCTTTTCAGTACAAGTCTCAGATCGAGACCACCGAAAAGGAAACATCTGTCATGATTTCTCAAGCTGTTGCGACCGCTGATGAGCTCAAGCAAGACATCGAACAGCTGAGAATTGAGATTGCGATGCGCGAGGAAGAGCTGAAGACAGAGAAGAAGTTATCCGTGAAAGGAAAACTAGAACTGGATAAACTCTGTGTTGAATTGGAGCAGGCTAAAGACGCCAATGCAGCGGAATTGAAGCGTCTTCATCATGGCCTTATAGTCCGAGAACAAGCGATGGAAAATCTGGAATCGGAAAAGAAACGATTAGAGGAACAAGCCAACGTGAGTCAGTTGTGATTTGTAAGAGGGGGAGATTTTTTTTTGTTCTCACTTTTTGTTGCGTTGTTAGCAAATGGAAGAACTTCTGAAACAAAGCGACCAGGAGAAGAGCGCTCTGCAGGAAGAGCTCCGATTGGAAAAAGTCAAATGCACCACGCTGGAGAGTGGAATAGAAGATCTGAGGAAGGAATTGGAGGAGGAAAAGGAATCGCTGGCTGAAGCGATTTTGCGTAGCGAGGAACTGGAAGAACGAACGAAGAAGCTGGAAAGCGAACTGAAGGAAAGAAACTATCGACTAGACAAAATAGCTGCAGAAAGCAAGGCGGCTAGGCATGAGACAGCTTTGAAGGAAGGAGAATTAATTGCGAATTCTGGAATGTAAGAATCAGAGGTTTGAGGTGACTTGAGATTGGCTTCTCAGGCTCCAAGCGAAAACTTCCCGCATGGAAGAGCTCGAACGAGAAGTGGAGGAGTTGGAGAATGCGCTTGAAGAAATGCGTGACCGGTGTGAAGAACTCGAAGATGATCTTGACAACAAGGTTCAAGAGTGCACGCAACGAGAGGAAGAAATCCAAAAACTTCAAGGTTAGTTGCTTTGAAATAGAAAATAGATGGTGTCTGATGGTTGCTGATGGGAATGCTTTCGGGATGAATAGAGTTTGAAATGAATACGATAATCATGTAGAGAGGAGAAGTGTTACGTAATATGCAGCGGAAGTAGAGGTGGAGAGTAGCAAAGTACCTTACAGCAGACGGAATATGAGAATCATGTAGAGATGAATCGGTTATTCTGAGACTCTGTATTTAATCAGGTGATGTGGTGACGCTCGAAATCAATCTATCGGATCTAAAACTGGAGAAAAAGAATCTGGAAGACGAACTGGAGGAAATAGAGTGCGATGCAGAGTCATTGCGGACTGAAGTGGCGTTGTTGAAGACAGAATCAAATCAATTGAATGCAAGTTACATGGAAGAGAAGAAAACCATGACAGAGAAGGTTGAAGCTGCAGAGTGCGAAATTGAGGAACTGAAGCGAAATCACGACAAGTTGTGCGCGGAGTTGAATGAAACGATTGAAGGCTACGAACTCAGATTGAAAGAGAAACAAGATGAAATAGACAAGGCGGACAATCAGGCAGAAAGAACAAAAGAGGAAGATCATGAAGCAGTTCTCATTCTCCAAAAAGAAATTGAGAGGATGGAATCAGATTTGGTGAAGGTCAAAGAGTTCCAGGCAGATGCGATGAAGTCGATTCAGATGTTGAACAGCAATTCTGAAGTGGAAGAAGACATTGATGAGGAGTCTGGTGATTTGGAGACAATCAGAAATGCACTAGAAGCAACTTGTTTAAGAGTTGAAAAAGAAAGAAATGAAGCACAATGTTTGAAGACAGAAATTCTGACATTGCAGCAGAATCTTGAGAATGAGATAAACATGAACAAGAAAAATGGCGAAAAAATCGATAGACTAGAAGAAGAAATAAAAAGAGCAAATAAGACATCAAAAAGAGGAAGCCTTTCTGAAATAGAACTTCTTGGGAATCCAGATTGGGAAAAAGCGAGTTGTCAGGTTGGAGCGTTAGAACAGTCCGAAAAACCAGCTGGTGATGAGCGTCGAGCAAATTCGGAGTTGATTGGAAAAGAAATCTTGACAGCCTCATCATTGGAACAGCAGAGTGCAGAAGCATTGACGTGTGGAATATCAAGTCATCAAATGAATGATTTGGATTTCTGTCTAACTACTCAACAAGAGAATGAAAATAACGGCACTCCAAAAATGACTGTTGGTGAGTTATCATTCGATGCGATATGTAGATCAGGCAGTTAGAAGTGTGTTCACAGCCACGCTTCATCAAATTGTAGAGCTGAGAGTTCCTGTAATGTTGACTGTTGGTCTCACTTTGATAGGCGTCAAGATCGCAGCAATAAAAGGAATCGGGGCTAGGGAACTTGCCGAAGAAAGTATCAGGGTTCTACAGGAACGGATACAAGAGTTGATGGAGACGCAAGAGCGTCTCTCTGTCCGTCTTCAGGAAACGGAATTACTTCTCGAGCAAGTAAGGACAAAAAGTTTGAATGCTGAATTTGAAGTTGGCGATCGTGCGCATTTCGGTCAGAATCGACGCGAAAACAACGCGAAGAGTGTTGACCCTCCTCAATCGGAAGCCAAGCTTCAGCAGCTGGAAGCGAAGTTAGAAACAATGGAGGACAATCAGGAGGAGCGACTGGAGCAACTCAGGGAGGTCACTTCTGAGCTAGAGCAGTCACGGGGAAGAATCGAAGAACTGATGCATGAGATGGAAACGTCGGGGGAACGAGAACGCGTTTTGAAAGAGAAGGTTTCTGCATTGAGGGAGTTGTTTGAGGAGACTGGGCAGCAGTGGGTTCGAAGTCTCGCGAAGAGGGATCCACCACCGAGAGTGAGCGCAGACGACAACGTTCCATCTGAGAGAGACGCTAGAATAAGTGATGCAAAGTCGACTGAAGATGCACAGGGAGACGACCGCTTCGTTGGAGTAGAACAATCAGCCGGAGAAGGTGAGCCATGAAAAATTTGGTGAGCCCTGAAAAGCTTGATGAGCTCTGAGAAGCTTGGGAAGCCCTAAAAAGCTTGGGGCTGCATTGGAGGATCAAAAACAGATAGAAATATGCTCTATAGGAGATATGCAGATGGCAGAACGCACGGATGGAGTTGTTGCGAATACAATTGTCTCCATTCCACGTGAAGCTGCAGTCGTCTCCTCGGCTCTGCTAGAAGCTTCACCGAACGGAAGTCCGAGTGCGAATTCGATCAGCGACGTTTCTGTGAAATACAATTTAGAAAATCATCCCATGGAATTAAGGCCACAGAGTGATACGAGTCGTGAACTGAGTAACCTGGTTCAAGTAGTCTCTCAACTACTCGGCCGTTTAATCGAGGAAGGCCCCAAGCCTCACATTGCTGAAGTGCTTGAAGTAAGACTACTGCTTGGTCCCTCAATTCAGATGCCGATAATGGTTTTGCCTTGTCATCCAGATTCAGAGGCAGCAACAACAAGGATGGATGGTGAACCAAATCGAGTTGAAAGAGAAAGAGCTCTCGACTGCCAGAACTTCATTGAATGAGCTGCAGCAGAGAATTGATGACCAAGTGAAAGAAGTAAGAAATAATTAAAACAACATTTTCTATTGAGTTCATTCTTTCTGACCACGTTGGAATCCTCTCTCTGATGCAGACTTTATCAGTTTCCCCACCAATTGCAACTAGCGGAGTTAGAGGCAAGCCTGTTTTCTCCTTCCTTGAGAAATAGTTGTATCCACTTCATCAGAATACAGCCTTGAAAACATCCGTTGATGCCGAAGCAACTCAAGTAAGCTGCAAGTTAAGATCGGGATCAAGTCTCAGATGAATTATATGAAGAGAATTCTGTATTTCGTTTAGAACCTTGCAGTCCAGGAAGCCTACCGTCATCTTCGAGATCAGTATAAGGCTCTTAAGGCCGAAAGAGCGAAGCTGGGGGGGACAATGTAGAGCGCTCCAAAAACGAGAGCTTGTTTATAAACGAATTGTTGCAGAACTTTCAAAACTCAAGGAAAACCAGGCAAGCACGCTCTTCGGATCGATTCATTGCACCTCTATATTTCAGACATCTGCAATAGACAAGCTAGCGTCTCGTATCACGGAGCTTGAAATGTTATCGGGCGTGCAGGTCAGTAATGTCACATACATTTATTTGGTGTGGTTTGGAAAGCAATTTCGTCCTGCATCGTGTCATGACGAGAAAATCCTCAGCGCCTGTCGGTCAATCACCCAAGAGATCGGATTTTCTCTCTTCTTGTGTCTTTCAGCTGGAGACTCGGTTGCGTGAAGTTGCGGAACAAACTCATCCAATTCTTGATGAGAAGCAGCGGGAAATCGATCACTGGAAGTCCCAAGCAGAAGTAAGGGTGATGATGAAAGTGCAGATACAGACTGCGTGTAGGTGCTCGATGCAAGACTGATCAAAGAAACCCGAGCAGCTTCTTCGGAGATTGAAGCACTCCAACAGCAAGTGCGTGAAATCCACCAGCATTTATTTTTTCAGATCATCAGAATCACTTCTGTTTGTTTGTTTCTCTTCAGATCGACGTGCTGAGACGCGAACATGAAGGGACAATCGCATCGCTTGAAACTCAAATAAAATTCCACGAAAATCAGAGTTCTGAGCTCCTGTTTGGAATGAAAGCTGTTGAACAACGATATTCTCTGGCTTTTCAGAGATTGCAACGTCAAGCAGATTTTTATGCTTCTACAGTAACAGCGGATTCCCAGATGTCCCAAATTACGCTCGCAAAGAGCCCTTCTGAGAGGAGCCCAATGGATGATGAAACTTCAACGAGTCTCTACCGCGAGATGCAACAAACAAGAAGTCGTACCGCTCCACCCGCCCTGCTGTTGAGTAATCTGATATTGCTTTGCGATGAAATTCCCTGATGCTGTCACTGTTCTGGATAGTGGAATGAAAAAAACAAAAGTCAGAGCGTGTCGTTGAAATTGTTCTTCTCGCAAAAGATGAATTGAAGAAACAGTTGGCGCTCCCCCATGAAGGTGGCTTGATGATTGAAGGTCTAGAAGACATCCTCCGCTTAGAAGGAATTCAGTTGAGTCAGTTTTGTGATTTCCTGGCAAACAACGGAATTCGAGTCGATCCCCTCCATCGCTGAGTTGTTTGCCACTCTGGCGAAATGGATTTTCCGATTAAAGGGAAGTGAACAGAACGACAATCGAACAGGTGCCTTAAAAAACGCTCTCCTATCAAGTACTCATGGAGAGAGAAGCATTGATCAATGGAACCCATCTCGCTTGCTCGAAATTCTTCTGAATTTGGAGAGCAGGGCTTCATTTATGAACAGATTGATTCTTGGAGTCCAGCAACTGCAAGAAATGTCGAGTACAAACCGGAGTGCGTCCTGCTTCCTCTAGAGGTGCGTGAATTGGGAGCTATCGTTTGCGCTGGTTGTTCTCCTAAGCTACTTTGCTCCTTCCAGGGATCTGTTCTGGCCTGATTGGATTATTAACAACCATTCTAGATGGTGCAGCACAGCAAATTTCTCAGTTAGAAGAACAGAATGGAGTTCTGTGGTCTTCACTCGAAGAAGCCAACGCAGCAGCAAGGGCGGAAAGAGAAAAGGGGAAGGTGGGCATCTCATAGGAAGACAGCGCCATCCTGTTTCGCTCTTAGGATATTTTGTCCGCATTTAAACAGCAAGCTAAGGACCTTCGGAGGCTTGGGTGAGTTTAACCTGGACATTGCGAGCAGTTCTCCTTTTCAGAGAGGTGTACATGTACGATCGCCAAAGCTGGGATCCATTCCAATCGCAGCTTGGAGATTTAAACACGCCAGGAAATCAAGATCGAGACTTTTTGAGAGGCTTGGAAGACGCTCGAGAGAGCCCGATGAAATCATTGCCTCCGAGGACCCGTCCGATCACCAGCACTAGCAAATTTATGTCCCAGCCAGTTACAACACAAGACTAGTTTTATACGTCAACAGTGCACAACCCTTTTTTTTCAAATGACATGGAAGTTTCGCATTTTTTGATTCACATCAAAAGACTCAGAAGAAGAAGCCCAGGATTTTACCACCTGTGTGTTTGTGTCTGGCTTCCTCGTGGTCCATGATGCCATACGAGGTTGTCAAGACAACATGCCCAAACTGGCGGGATGGTAGAAGATCCGAAGTCACTTGTTCAATACGATCCAACGTCACATCGAAACGGGGGGAGATAACGCCACACTTGTTGATCCGGCCAAGAAGGTTGACGACGATTTTACCGCTTCGGTGGGTATCGACGATTTCGAATTCGCCTGTGTAACCTGAACTGACAACAAACAGCAATTTTGACAACAATTGTGACACAGAAATGTTGATACACAAATCCACAATTCAATAACCATGAACTCTTAGCATTACGTCTCTTTTGCATGCACTGTAAAAAGTGAACAACGACCTTGCTTGACGGGCGGATCAACACTTGACGTCGTCCTCGCTTCTCGGCATTAACGATCGTCTTCAGACAATCTGCTAGAACAGACATGCGAACCATCTGAGAGGAAGGAGGAACCCGATTTGGGACATACAATTAGCGAACTGTGAGGGGGGACTTACTGTGGCGTGAATCAATCCTGAAACGAAAGCTCAGGCTTCAAGGGGCGAAGGCGCGAAGAATCAAACCAGATAGGTTAATAGGCAAGGCACCATGTTTGTGTTAGACCTGACTTTTTTTCCTCATGTTACAGACTTTTGTCTCGAACCATTGAACGAAAACTCTGTGTTGAGGTCCTCGTCCAACTTCCAACAATAATAGTTTGATGCCACCTGGGTCGTTCATCAGATGAACCTGGGACTTTCAAAAACCCCCATCGACTATCATTATCCACTACCAACATGCCCAAAATAACTCCAAAGCTTCCATGTCTGCTTGCAGAAAAGATTGAAAACGTTGCAGAAGACACTCCCGTGATTGTGACGCACAATCCAAGGCAGTATGATCAGGCTGAGATGATCCTGTAGTGACATTGATGGTCAAATTGTACGGAATTGTTGCTCTGATGTGTTTAGGTTTCATTGCGACGACGCCCTGGCTGTTGGATTGCTTCTTTGGAATACTCCAATGATAACGCAAGAGACGCAAGGAAAACCTTTGGATTTCTGAGAGGATTTAACGATCCCTCTAACGCGACTTAAAACCCTCCAAATTGATCGGCTCTGCTGTCATGGGAGCGTCAAGCATTTCGTTGCCCTCATGTGTTGAAGTTAACGATTCGACAACACGGACGGGACGAGGACGATCCGAAATCTCTAGGAGTTCTGGGGGAATTGGGCTCGTGATCACTCGATAGACAAAGGCACACGTTCCGGTGGTCCTGCGTACCACAGGGGCACCACGGAGGCGACAGTCCCGTGCACTGCGCGAACTCGATGGGGAAGACTCCATCCTGGTCTGTACTTCGTGCAGCCGGAAGCATGAACAGGTCCGTCGTTTGGTGTCTTCATTATCGCCGTACGGGAAACTCACTACATCGCGTGGGGCAACGCTCTCATTCCTCTTCTGCTGTGCCATTGGTACCAGTTCCTTGGAGAGCTAAAAACGCCAATCGGACCCCCTCAGTCGTGCCGGGAGAGAACGCTTTCAACTAAATCTTGTCCACAGACCAAAGATCCTGGAGTATTTCCAATGCTGGGCAGAGGAGTTGCATTGTAGATCAAAACTGCATCAGCGACCACATTGGGAAACGTTGGGGGAGCACTGATAGACGTCTGTATTGCGAACTCCAACAACCGATAGGATGCCTCGTTGATCCCATTTCCCTTAGGGTGATATTTCGATGTGAAGATGACTTTCACTTCAAGAGTTTGTGACAAGAACTCTGTCACCTCCCGGTTTCTGAAGTACGATGCATTGTCCATTAACATGGCATGAGGAACTCCACACGTTGGCATCCACCCTAGTCGAAGAAAAGCGATAACATCCGCGCTGGTGGGATGTTGAGAAAAGCAGATAGCCATCGTGAAGCGAGAGTGATGGT